CATACATACATACATACGTGTGTGTGTGTGTGTGTGTGTGTGTGTGTGTGTGTATATATATATATATATACACACACACACATATTTAGGTGTTATGTAAAATGGTAGCCTTCTCTTATCCAATTTTTGGAAGTGTACTGTCTTATGCAGCCCTCTCGTACCGATGAAGAAAAATTGTGGCCCTCTCCATCATTAAGTTGCCCATCCCTGGTCTAGACCTTACTATTATTATCATCATAGAGGAAAACCCCCAAAAATCCCCCTTGAGTAGAATTGGACTGATAAAAATATCATCTTCTTAGCAGAGCTACAAAATTCTTAGTTATGAGGGATTTCTTAGTTCCAAAAATGGTTCTCATTCCCATTATGTATAAAGAATATCCAACTGTCATAAATGCCATCCCAAGTGGTATCATACAATTATTAAAATGACACTTGGAACAGCAAGAAATGCAAAAACTTAAATACACTTTATTGGTAAATGGAACTGATATCAAAAGTATAAGATGTTATAACAATCATATAAGGAATTATTTTTAAAGCTAAAAGAAAATTACTCCACATGGAAAAATAATATATGGATCTCTCACTTCTCTCATATCCAGTGGAAAGAAACACAGCTTCTACCATATAAATTGAGTATCCCCAGTAAAGTTAGAGAAATGCAATTTAAAATCACAATATACACCAATCAGCCATAACATTAGAACCACCTGCCTAATACCGTTTACATAGGAGTCAATGTGGTAGTTGGTCAGCACTCATGTCACTCTGCAGCTCACTATACATCTTCTGTGAATCCATTTGCTTCCACAGTTCTACTGTCAGGAAGAGCACAGATGTGTCTACAATTCAGTGAAACATGTATGTAAAAGGAGTGAAAACTGTGGTGGTGAGGACAAGTCAGAGGGAATTTTTTTTTTAGACCAATCCAACAGCCTCACCACTCTAGGTGTGATATCACCACTACAGCCCCTGACTCTTTCTCTTCATAGAGACCAATGTACAGTATTTCTCATTTTCAACCATTTTAACAAAGGCTCAAATAAATTTTAATCTTTTGAAAAGTACAAATGGAAGTTAAAAGTTTAATCTACAGTAAGGCAACCTCATCATCAGTGAGCCATGGGCATCCATGACCCTGTCTCCAGTTCACCATTTGTCCTTCCTTAGACACTGTTGGTAGCTATTAACCACTTCAGACCAAGAACACCCACTGAGACCTGCAGTGTTGGAGATGATCTGACCCAGTCAACTCACCATCACAGTTTGGCCCTTGTCAAAGTCACTCAGTTCCTTACACTTGCCCATTTTTCCTGATTCCAACACATCAACTTTGAGGACTGAATGTTCACTTGCTGCCTAATATACCCCCACACTGACAGGTGCCACTGTAACAGATAGTGTATTCACTTCACCTGCCAGTGGTCATAATGTTATGGTTGATCAGTGGATATCCTCCAACTTACATATCATGATTTGTAAATGTCAATAAGATGTGTGATTTTTGTAAAGTTGAAAAGGACCCGATTCAACATTTATCTAATAAATGCTCCTACCAAAAGCATTCAGGACCAAGCTGGAGACTTACTGTACCACTCATATTAATCATATAATTAATTTGGATACTAAAAAGGTTATCTTATACTTTTTTCTTTTCCTATTTTAACGTTATTTGGGTATACAATCTGCGTGCTTTTTAATTGAGTTTCTTATTAACCAATGTTATGGATGTGTGCTGTTTATTGTAACATACTGTATGCTAGATTTTCTCTTAATTTAAAAAAAGTTAACATTTCGCACATGAACTTACTCCCAAGGCTGTGGGATCTAACGATTACCATTATCTATCACGACTTACACGACTACGGGACATTTTTTTCGATAACGTTGAGTTAGACCAGTTTCACCAAAAACAACTATGCCAGTTATCAAAAGCAGCTCGTATCTCCGTCTAGTTTCTGAAATGAATCACACGAATTAACGCTTGACAGATAAAGTAGACTTGACTGTTCCGCCATAACACGTATACATCTGATAGTTAAGCAATATTAAAACGCTGTCGACTTGGCACTTGATCACATTTCTTGCACTGGTCTGGGCGAGGTTCAATTTTAAAGACAATCGTTCATGAGCACAAAAACGGCAAGGCAGTACAGTCGCAATTTACAACGAAAACAATATACAGAAATAAAAAAAAATTTACCTCGTTGTTGCTGTCAACAGTTACATTCGTCCATGTGATGTCATAGACGGTGCATCGATAAAAACTGTCCGATTACATGAACAAAGCTCACCCCAAGGTTCCGCTATTTAATCATGTGCCGCGGGGCCTGGCTCCAACCAAGCCCCCAGAAATAGCGCTGGGCTGAGAACCAGAGCCGAGTTGCAGAAAAGGTGACGTACTGACGACCTCAGCCGGAAGTTTGGACTGCGACCTCTTTTTATTTATTTTCCCCAAAACTTCATTAGACCTTTCGTTTTTACTGGCGACCTCAACAGTGAATGCCCCCCCAACTTTATTTAAGACAGTTACAACAATTGTAAACTATTTGTTTTAAAATCTTCATTTTACAGAATGAAAAGGATTTTACGATTATTTAGGAAATATTTGATTATCCAAATTTAGAGCTTGTATTGGCAAAATGTTACTTTGTGCAGTGTAACATTTCAGACTTTGCAAGATGTTTATAAAGTGGAGCCAGTTACATGAGGGCTCGACATCATCACGCAGGGGGGTGGATGTTTTGTTGTTGTGGAGCAGAGAGAGAATTTGCCGGTTCGGCTAGATAAGAAAATAAAGGAACGTCGCCTTTCCTCTTTCCAAAATTATTCCCACAACTCTCACAGATGTGTCATCAAGTACAATGGATTGAGAAACAGGTGATTAAGAAGCCAGATAAAGGCGCAAAAATGCTACTGCATGTTTAAGCACTGTGTTCCACTGGTTCTGAATAGGGTTCGGCATGTGACCATTGGTTTTAAATGCCATGTGAAAAGACCAACATGACAGTGCAGGCTATAGAGAAAAACACATGAAAAGTAGGCAGGATTTTGGGTGAGAAGTGTTAGAAATTAATAAATCACTCAGATAATTATTAGACTTTAATGTGTGTTAGTAATGCAGTTTAGTAAGATTCAAAGTCTGCTCCTGTGTGCTCTGCTTCAAGGTTAGAAGATAATGTTGACTCTGAGAAGGGTACCTTGACACCTGTTATTTTTGTATTAATCTTGTGTAAGAATTATGTCTGAATGGATGTTTTAATTACACATCATGCATACAACATACACACACATTGAGCTACCTCATTTTGTTATGACTAGGTAATACGCAGCTGCTCCACGTATGTGGAGCTCTAGATAAGAGATGGAGTCTGCGGGACGGACTTCATCTGTGTAAGGGGTTAGCCCAATAACTGATACTAAAATCAAGAAAAACAGACTCCTTCCTTACTCAGATCTGTCCAGTAAAAGAACTGGGGTATAACAACTTGGTGCCGTGACCTTCGGAATTGGCTGAATCCTGAGTTGGATTCCAGTCGGGGGTGAACGGACTCACTGATCAACATTTGCCGGCAATACTAACAGGTGAGCAGGAAACCTTTTACAGAGAATTCCTGCATATTGGACCTTACAAAATTTTGTTGATCTGTGTGGACTGTGAATTCCCGATCCAAAATTGAATGATTACAGTACGGGTAAGATAACACTGTTATTTTGAAATGTACTGGTGCTAATGTTTTGTGCCACACGTAAAAGTTACAAGCACATAGTCTCATTTGAGAGATAGAAATAAGTGCCCTAGTTACAAATTGATGACAGGGAAATGTTTATTATTTTTAATATCTGTGTGGGTGGTTTGCTGCACAAAGGCTGTTGAACACTGGCACATGTGTATCCCATAGCAACCAGTGCTATGGAGAGAATTCAATGTGACACAGTGTGCCTCGGGCAGAACTGTCTTTGGGGGCTGGGCATAGTCTATGGGAAAACTGTGTTATAGAAATTTAGGGTGACGGCGTATTCAGTGGAATTAAAACAGAACTGTTGATTGGGTAAACCCCCAGCAATCGGGCGCACCAACTTAGTTGGCATAGAAGTTTCCCGACCGGATCACAGTTCTGGACAGAGATCATTCCACTTGGGACGTCGGTCACGTGTACATAAATTTTTATAATGTCTGCCAATGTTGTACAAGACTGGGAAAAGGCCAAGCCTTACTCTTTGGGGGCAGTACTCTACAAGTTTTTGTCTAAATGGTTAAATACAGTTCCTAAAGATAAGCAGGATAATGCAGATGCAAAAAGAAAAAAACAGATTTTTGGGGACAGTGACAGTCCTCCCCCACAAGGGGATACTATAGGGCTGTTTTTGAAGCAAGCCTCTCTTGCGGCAGTGAGAGCCAGACAGGAAGTGAAGTCCTGTATTTCTTTAAGAAGGAACAAAATAGAAGCCAGATTAAAACAAGCTGAGGGTTTTCTTGCTGATTGTGTATGCTTTTTGGAGACTTTCAAGTGTTTTCAGTCTCCTTCAGCCAGTTCAAGCAAGTCACAGAAAATGGTTGATGTGAATTCTCCCAGTGGCACAGCTGTTTCAGTCCAAGCTGTCTCTGATAGAGATTGTAAA